CTGAGTTCATGCCACAGCACTGCAGCCTGGGCAACAGAGTGAGAGTCCATCTCAAAAAAAAAAAAAAAAAAAGTGCCAGGGCGAGTGCAGTGGTTCACACTTGTAATCCCAGCACTTTGGGAGGTCAAAGAGGGAGGATTACTTGAGGCCAGGAATTCAAGACCAGCCTGGAAAACATAGCGAGACCCTGAATCTACAAAAAAACAAAAAAATTTTTTTAATTATCCAGGTGTGGTGGTGCGCACCTGTAGTCCCAGCTACTTAAGAGGTTGGAGGATTGCTTGAGCCCAGGGGTTTGAGGTTGCAGTGACCCATGATTGGACCACTACACTCCAGCTTGGGCAACAAAGAGAGATACTGTCTCCAAAAAAATAAATAAATAAAAAATACAAAAGTGCTGAGTACAGAGAAGATGGGGAGCAATGAGAAGTCACCTATAGGCTTAACAGGGGTACCTGTTTATTTCCTTGAACATTTGCAGGCGCTGCTATACCAGGCAAAAGCAGACACTCTCATGTCTGGGAAGATGCCTTTAGGAACATAATTTCTTTTTCTTTTTTGAGACAAGAGTTTCGCTCTTGTTGCCCAGGCTAGAGTGCAGTGATGCGAACTTGGCTTACTGCGACCTCTGCCTCCTGGATTCAAGCAATTCTGCCTCAGCCTCCCAAATAGCTGGGTTTACAGGTGTGTGCCACCACGCCCAGCTAATTTTTGTATTTTTAGTAGGGACAGGGTTTCACCATGTTGGCCAGGCTGGTCTCGAACTACTGACCTCAGGTGATCCACCCGCCTCAGCCTCCCAAAGTGCTGGGATTACAGGCATGAGCCACCAAGCCCGGTCGTAACAACATAATTTCTAAGTACTCAGAAGATGAGGTAACCCTCAGAGTGTGTCTGATGGGGAATGGATTTAGTGTGGCTCCCAGATCTGGAGGAAGACTGAGATCTGGAGGAGGAATTATGAAAGGAGGATGGGAACGGTAGTATTGTGAGCAGTGAGAGCAGCGTGAGGGAAGACCTAGCAGGTGATGGGAACTTGGGTAGTTCTAGCTCCCACCAGGGGGATTCCAAAAAAGGGCCACGTCTCTTTCTAGCTCTGTGGTGCCTGACTGTCTGCACCTCCCTCCAGCAGGGCCCCCAGCCCCACATCCAGCACTTGCCCATCTTTTGGGTTGCTTGGCCTAAGGATGGAAGAAGCCATGGCTAGGTGTACTTTTCCCTTTTTAGTAATGGTGTCTTTTTATTGATAACTTCCCAACAGCATCTGTAAACATTGGGTACAAAAATATTCCATTAAACTCTTTCCCAGGGTGGCTCCGTTTGCTCCATGGAGGCCCTCAGAGAGGCCTGCTGGCCCCTCAGGTTCCACACCTCTACTCAGAGAAACACAGGCCTCAGCATGCTCAGGGCTGAATGGATGGCCAGCCTCCATCTCAAGACTTCTACCTATCTCAGAAACCTCTTTGAGATACCAAGGAGACAGTATTTGATACTTTTACGGAGCAAGGGGCAGGAAAAGCAGAATTAGTGGGTGCAGGGGTGGGCTGGGGTGAACTCAGAGGAGACCGTGCTTGTGCACCTCAAGGAGGTCCTGACCGGGGGTGGGGGACATCTGGCTCTGGTCTCTGGGAACCTTTCAAGCATTCTGCAGAGCAGACGTCAGGCTCAGCTCTGGAAAAATTCCCGTGCCCAGCCCTGCGACTCCAGCCGGAATGGGCGTGCCCTGGCATGGCAGAGGGGTCTTGCAGAAGAGAGGTGTTCTGAGGAAGGAAGGAGCCAGAATTAAAGACCCCCCAGGAATTTCACACCCCTCGGGAGACAGCCCTGTTCCCCTAGGAGCCCTGGGTGACAGAACGGGGCAGCAAAGGAGCCCTGGGTGACAGAACAAGGCAGGGTTACCCGTTGCCACCTTGTATGCCGCTGCCCTGAGACCCCTCAAGGCACCGGGCAGTAGGTCTATTCGCCCGTCGTCTCCTCATCATCTGTCTGGCTGCGGCCGTTGATGGCTGGGGAGCCAGGCTGGACATGGGACAGGTCCTCGAAGCCAGGGCTCAGGGACGGCGAGACGGTGTCGGGGCTGGTGTCACATGAGCCCGTGCTCTGTTCTGAGGTGGCGATGGTGGTCGTGGTGCTGGGTGGGATGGGGTCTTCATCCTCTTCCTCCAGGAAGGACGCCTCCGGGATATCTGGAGGAAGGAGGCCCAAGAGTTGGTTTTGTCACCTTGCCAAGCACTGTGATGTAGGATTTATTGTCCATGTGACCCATAACGGCTGCCCTCACCCCATGGGGGCATGACTTGGCCCTTTTTTTTTTTTTTTTTTTGAGACGGAGTTTCACTCTTGTTGCCCAAGCTAGAGTGCAATGGTGCGATCTCAGCTCACTGCAACCTCCGCCTCCCGGGTTCAAGCAATTCTCCTTCCTCAGCCTTCCGAGTAGCTGGGACTACAGGTGCCCGTCACCACGCCCATCTAATTTTGTATTTTTACTACAAACGGGGTTTCTCTATGTTGGTAGGGCTGGTATCGAACTCCCGACCTCAGGTGATCCACCCGCCTCGGCCTCCCAAAGTGTTGGGATTATAGGCATGAGCCACCGCGCCCGGCAGACTTGGCCCATTTTTATTTTGTAGAGGAGGAAACTGAGGTCCAGGCAGGGAAGAGCTCTCCCTTCAAGGCGAGGTGAGGAAGGGACACAAGCTCTGGGGTTGGGCCTACAGGAGCCGTGAGGGCAAGCCTGGCTCACTGCACTACCTGGCCTAGGTACATGACTTCCCCTCAGCCCGGATCTCTGCTCTGTAAACTGCTGTTGGAGGCCCTAGGATGGAGAGCCGTCGGCCTTTTCAACAGATGGGGTGAACCCAGGCTCAGCCTGCAGAGCCCTTTAAGGTGGTGGCAACATGGAGTGGTACCCCAGAGAACAGACGGGCTCTCTAGCCAGACGGATGTGCACTCAAGTCCTGCCCCTCTGGGCCTCTGTTTCCCTCTCCATGAAACGGGGATACTCACAGTCCCCGCCTCATGGGTGACTGTGGTTAACAGCCTGGTTCACAGGGGCTCATGATGCACACGGGGATAAGGATCATCATGCCGCTTATCTACATTCCCTGTGCGGCCTCCCCACAGGGCACGGACTCCCGTCCTAGCGCCAGCCTTGTAGGCTGCCGAGAAGACCAGGCCAGCACCCCGCCCCCGCCCCCGCCCCAGGTTTCTCCAGACCCACTGCCCATTACAGCCTGGTCTCAGGATCAGGCCCCAAGGTGGCCTTCCAGAAGCCTGCCCTGGGCTGAGAGTGCTGACATGCTCGGCAGCCGGAGCCCTGCGTGACACTTACGGCTGAAGGCCTCTGGGTGCTGCCTGGCCAGTTTCCCTTTCAGCGTCCTGCAGGGGAGAGAAGGCACACAGGGCTTAACCTGCTGAGCAGGCAGGCCAGGCCTTGTGCCAGTCACAGGCCCCTGCTGCCGGTTGAGGGCAAGGGGAGACGGGAGTGAGAACCCCACACTGTTCATCACATCACATCTTCACTCTCTCTAGGTGCTCGGCCCCACAGCCACGGCCCTGACAGTCGCTCACCAGCCGGCCTCCAGCCCCAGGATAGGCAACAACCCCCAACTAGTTAAGACTCTGGGTGCTCTGGCTGGGGGCTCCCCCTACAAGGCCCCTTCTTACATGTGGCCTCCTCTACTCTGATAAACTCTTTTTTTTATTTTTTGAGACAGAATCTCGCTCTGTCACCCAGGGTGGAATGCAGTGGTGCCATCTTGGCTCACTGCAACCTCCACCTTCTGGATTCACATGATTCTCCTCCCTCAGCCTCCTGAGTACCTGGGATTACAGGCACGTGCCACCGTGCTCAGCTGATTTTTTGTATTTTTTTTTTGAGACGGAGTCTTATTCTGTCGCCCAGGCTGGAGTACAGTGGCACGATCTTGGCTCACTGCAAGCTCCGCCGCCTCCCGGGTTCACGCCATTCTCCTGCCTCAGCCTCCCGAGTAGATGGTACTACAGGCGCCCGCCACCACGCCCAGCTAATTTTTTGTATTTTTGGTAGAGACGGGGTTTTACCATGTTAGCCAGGATGGTCTCGATCTCCTGACCTTGTAATCTGCCCGCCTCAGCCTCCCAAAGTGCTGGGATTACAGGTGTGAGCCACCACGCTCAGCTGCACTATGTTACGTTTTTGAAGAATAAATAAACTGCAAGGCTATAATCCCCGCACTTTGGGAGGTCAAAGTGGGTGGATCACCTGAGGCCAGGAGTTTGAGATACGGCTGGCCAACATGGGGAAACCCTGTCTCTACTAAAAAAAATACAAAAATTACACAAAATACAAAAATTAGACTCACACCTGTAATCCCACCACTTTAGGAGGCCAGGGCAGGTGGATTGCCGGAGCTCAGGAGATCGAGACCAGCCTTGGTAACACGGTGAAACCTCGTCTTTACTAAAATACAAAACATCAGCTGGGCGTGGCAACATGCACCTGTAGTCCCAGCTACTCAGTAGGCTGAAGCAGGAGAATCGCTTGAATCCGGGAGGCAGAGGTTGCAGTGAGCCAACATTGCACCACTGCACTCCAGCCTGAGCAACAGAGCAAGACTCCATCTCAAAAATAAAACAACAACAACAAAAATTAGCTGGGCATGGTAGAGTATGCTGGTAATCCCAGCTACTCAGGAGGCTGAAGCACAAGAATCGCTTGAATCCGGGAGGCAGAGGTTGCAGTAAGCCAAGATGACGCCACTGCACTCCAGCTGGGGCCACAGATCAAGACTCTGTCTTGATCAATTAATCAATCAGTAAATAAACTTACGTCAAGATTTTATCCCAAGGTTGGAATTGTCCCAGACACTTAAGTGCACAGCGAAGCCTTGTAAAACAAACAGAAATCTCCCCTTTATACTGGTATGTGAAGGAAACTGAGGCTTACATGGGGAAGTGGAGGCAGAGGTCAGCTGGGGCCCCGGGGTGGGGCTGAGCACCTACCTGATCCGGCGGAAGATGCTGTCCAGGTCCCGTTTCATCTCTACCAGGGTCCTTGTGTGGTGCAGGAAGCGCTCGCTCATCTGCTGCAGGCGGGCGCTGGACAGGTTGTTGAAGTTGAGCAGCATCTCATTGGTCTTCTCAAAGCGGTCGAGCCTGATGGTGGAGAGAGGGCATGAGCTGCCCAGCTTCGGGGCCCTGCCCAACCTGGCACAGCTGACTGTTCATGCCAAGCCCTTGCCTGCTTCACAACCTCTGCATGGGCTGTTCCCTTGTCCTGCAGAGTTCTACCTACTCTTTGAGCCACCTAGCAAACTCCTATTCAACCTTCAAAACCCTACTCAAGGGTGTCCTTCTCATGTAGCTTTGTCTACCTCTTCATTCAATCAGACTCTTTTTTTTTTTTTTTTTTTGAGATGGAGTCTTGCTCTGTTGCCCAGGCTAGAGTACAGTGGTGTGATCTCAGCCCACTGGAAGCTCCGCCTCCTGGGTTCAGGCCATTCTCCTGTCTCAGCCTCCCGAGTAGCTGGGACTACAGGTGCCCGTCACCACGCCTGGCTAATTTTTTTTTTTTAATTTTAGTAGAGACGGGGTTTCACCATGTTAGCCAGGATGGTCTCAATCTCCTGACCTCGTGATCTGCCCACCTCGGCCCCCCAAAGTGTTGGGATTACAGGCGTAAGCCACTGCGCCCGGCCCAATCAGACTCTTTTAACTCCACTAGCCCCAGATTGTTCCTCTGGCCCAGCCCTGACACCATAGGGCCAGGAGGGTCTATGTCTGGCTTTGTCTCCCCTCAGTCTGGAAGTTCCCCAGAGTCACATCTGAATCTGACTTGAAACCCACCTCTACTGAAAATACAAAAATTAGCTGGGCATGGTGGCACATGTCTGTAATACCAGCTACTTGGAAGGCTGAGGCAGGAGAAATCACTTGAACCCAGGAGGCAGAGGTTGCAGTGAGCCGAGATCGCGCCATTGCACTCCAGCCTGGGCAACAAGAGCGAAACTCTGTCTCAAAAACAAGAAACAAATAAACAAAAAAACCTGCATATGGCCCCCTCTGGTCCTTCAACTCTCCCCACCCCAGGCCTCGGGACAGGAGCCCCTGCGGCCCCCGCCAAGCCGTCCGCAGCTGCAAAACCTCCCCAAAGCCCTGCTTCCCGTGCCAAGGCCTCGCCTCCAGGCCGGGAAGGAATTTACTTTGGAGCCAGCGACAGATTTGCTCATTTCCTTCATTTTATCACCAGTGTGGGCCCCGGGTAGGGGCGGGCAAGACAAGAATGTTGGCCAGCCCGTGGATTCCTTCCCACACTCACATCCCCCAGCCGCCACTCACATGTTCTTCTGGGCCAGGATGATGGCGTTGACATCATCTGTGTTCACCATGCTCAGGATGCGGCCGCAGAAGACCCTCGAGGCCGAGTCCGGGAGGTCCATCTCTTCCTCCTCCTCCGCTGCCTGAAACAGGCAAGAACAGAGTGGTCTGCACCAGTCACCAGGTGAGGTGGGACCAAGAGGCCAGGCTGGGACCCCCATGTGCTGGAATCTAACCCAATCGTGGTGGTATCCTACAGCGGCGATGTGTGACTGTGGCTCAGTCATGCCACCTGAACCTCAGGTGTGCCAGCCCAGGAATTTGGAGGTATTGGGCAAACTAAGAGAGGTTGTATTTGTAAACTGTACCCGAGCATATTAGAATCCCATCACCTCCCACTTCCATGAGCCCAAGGCCACAGGCACCTCTCATTTGCACAGATCTGCCAGCTTCCTCCCTCATCCCCCGTCACACACCTGCTGTCTTCACAAGCTGAACGTGTGTGGCTGCCTCAGCAAATCATCACCACCTCCAATGTCTCCTCTCCCAAGAGGTCAGGGACCCCTATTCCGGTCACTCTTACTGCTTCTCTTACTACTTGACCTTGCTTTTTTATTTCTTTTTGATACGGAGTTCCACTCCTGTTGCCCAGGCTGGAGCGCAATGGCGCGATCTCAGCTCACCGCAACCTCCGCCTCCCGGGTTCAAGCGATTCGCCTGCCTCACCCTCCCAGGTAGCTGGGATTACAGGTGCCTGCCATGATGCCTGGCTAATTTTTGTAGTTTTTAGTAGGGACAAGATTTCACCATGTTGGCCAGGCTGGTCTTGAACTCCTGACTTCAGGCGATCCACCCGCCTCAGCCTCCCTGACTGCTGGGATTACAGGCATGAGCCACCGCACCCAGCCTACTTTACCTTGTTTTTGTTTGTTTGTTAAGAGACAGGATCTCGCTATGCTGCCTAGGCAGCTCTTAAATTCCTAGGCTGACACAACCCTCTTGCCTTGGTCTCCCAAAGTGCTAGGATTACAGGCATGAGCCACCGCATCCAGCCACACTTTACCTTGATTTAATTGCTTCACTGGTTCACATCTTCATGAAATTATCCTAGTCATCAGCTAACCCATTTGCCTGTCACCCCCACAACAATGTCAGCTCCAAAAAAGCAGAGGTGGCCGGGTATGGTGGCTCTCACCTGTAATCCTAGCACTCTGGGAGGCCGAGGCAGGTGGATCACCTGAGGTCAGGAGTTCAATACCAGCCTGGCCAACATAGTGAAACCCCGTCTCTACTGAAAATATAAAAATTAGCCAGGCATGGTGGCAGGCACCTGTACTCCCAGCTACTCGGGAGCCTGAGGCAGGGGAATCGCTTGAACCCGGAATGCAGAGGTTGTGGTGAGCCAAAATTGCGCCACTTCACTCCAGCCTGGGCAACAGATTCTGTCTCAAAAAAAAAAAAAAAAAGGAAGAGGCGTGTCTGTCACCAGAGCCTGACCCGGAACCTGGTTCATAGCAAGGGACTGCCAGAATGTCAGAATGTTGTTGTGGGGAAGGGCAACAGAACTTTTCAAACTCAGCTCTGACATGATGCTTTTTAAAATTTAATTTTATTTGTTTTGGAGACGGAGTCTCGCTCTGTTGCCCAGGCTGGAGTGCAGTGGTGTGATCTCGGCTCACTGCAAGCTCTGCGTCCTGGGTTTACGCCATTCTCCTGCCTCAGCCTCCCGAGTAGCTGGGACTACAGGCGCCCGCCACCTCACCCGGCTAGTTTTTTGTATTTTTAGTAGAGATGGGGTTTCACCATGTTAGCCAGGATGGTCTGGATCTGCTGACCTCGTGATCCGCCCGCCTCGGCCTCCCAAAGTGCTGAGATTACATGACATGACACTTTTATTAGCAAACTAAAGCCAAGAATTGCAGGCACTCACAGCCAATCCGTGGGCCCCAGTAACCCAGATGGTTCTGAGGTTCCCAGTTTTACTGGCACACAGATGACTGTAATGGCAGGCAGGGACTTCCAGAAGCAACCAGGGGAGGAGGGGCTACTGCACTAACCCTCCTAGGGAGTTCAGGAAAAATCTAGGATCTTGATATAGTTTGCCTCTGAGGCCCACACATTTAATAGCCAAGAAACAGAGAAACCTACTTCTACTGGATCAGAAAAGGTTTCAGAGGCCGGGCGTGGTGGCTCACGTCTGTAATCCCAGCACTTTCGGAGGCCGAGGTGGGCAGACTACTTGAGGTCAGGAGTTCAAGACCAGCCTGGACAACATGGTGAAACCTCCATCTCTACTAAAAATACAAAAATTATCCAGGCATGATGGCGGGCACCTGTAGTCCCAGCTACTCAGGACGCTGAGGCAGGAGAATTGCTTGAACCCAGGTGGCAGAGGTTGCAATGAGCCGAGATCAAGCCACTGCATTCTAGTGTGGGCGACAGAGGGAGACTCCATCTCAACTTAAAAAAAAAGAAGCCGGGCGCGGTGGCTCAAGCCTGTAATCCCAGCACTTTGGGAGGCCGAGACGGGCGGATCACAAGGTCGGGAGATCTTGGAGATCGAGACCATCCTTGCTAACATGGTGAAACCCCGTCTCTATTGAAAAATACAAAAAACTAGCCGGGCGAGGTGGCGGGCGCCTGTAGTCCCAGCTACTCGGGAGGCTGAGGCAGGAGAATGGCGTGAACCCGAAAGGCGGAGCTTGCAGTGAGCTGAGATCCGGCCACTGCACTCCAGCCTGGGCGACAGAGCGAGGCTCCGTCTCAAAATAAATAAATAAATAAATAAATAAATAAATAAATAAAATAAAATTAAAAAAAAGAAAGACACCTGGAGAGGGAGGTCCATAGCTAGTGCCAGAGAGGCACAGTATTGGGACCTTCT